CGAACCATATGCAGGGAAATCGTTGATGGTCCACATGACTGCTGCATGCATTGTAAATATTTGGCCGGTAGAGACATCATATGTTTCCACACCATGCTCTCACAGATTAGTTAACTCTTCTGCTAATGGTTGCAAGTAAACATCGATGTCCCTTCCAGGTGCGGATCGTCCGGGAATAAACAATGACATCATGAGAAATGGATCTTTCATACACTTCCATGGGGGTAGATCGTAAGGCATTAAGATTACGGGCCACATGCTGTACGATGTACTCATATGTCCGAATGGATTGAAACCATCCGTGGCAAGCCCTAGCCGTACATTCCGAGGATCCGCAAAGAACGTAGGATGCAACCTATCAAAGTCCTTCCATGCCTCACCATCAGCTGGATGTCGCAATACTCCATCATCCACACGCTTATCTTTGTGTCATCTCATATCTGCAGCTGTTTTTTTCGACATGTAAAATCTCTTCAACCTCGGTGTCAAAGGAATGTACGTCAGTATTTTTTGTGGAATTTTTTTACCCGTCTTGTCGTTCAACTTGTATCTAGACTCCGTACATGTAGAGCAATTCTCCAATGTGGCGTTGACCTTCCAAAATAAAGTACAATCATTCTTGCATGCATGAATGGGCTCATATCCCAAATCCAACTCACGTAAGAACTTTTTCGCTTCATAAAGGGTCCATGGAACATTTTCATCACACTTTGGGAGAATGTCTTTGAAAACTTGCATAATCATATCGAAAGATTTGTTGCTCCATTTATTGTGCACCTTCACATGAAGCATCTTAATTACGAAGGACAAGATGAAGAACTTTTCACACTCTGGGTATACTTGACGTTGAGCATCATCGAACAACTTCATGAACTTAAACAACTTGTGCCTCTCCGAACTAGTACGTTCTTCATCGATATGATCATCCATGAGACCACTCATGTAAATCTCTTGTAACATGGTTAGAAGTTCATCCACATTTTCGTGATTGGTTGTCATTCCAGCTCGGTCGGTTTGAGTATCATCGTTTCGCATAGTAGGATGACCACGAAATAGGGGAACACGTTCCCCGTGGTGGACCCAAGTGCGATAAGAACATGCGATTCCTCTTCGAAGCAAGTGCAACCGTACAACATGTCGAGGTAATTTCGTGTCGTTCAAGCAATCAACACAAGGACAACGGATTTCATCCTGCGGCCCTAAATTCTTCGTAGCGAACTCCATAAATGACTGAACACCTTGCACATACTCTTTACTTTTTAGCCTATCTGTTATCATCATCCAACTCTTGTCCATTCTTGGAATAGTACACATCAAGCGAAGATGAACCTGGGAATCGACAACAAATTGGAAAAATACTCTGTAATGGAAGAAAGCTTAAGTAAGTTTAGGGGCTCGATTAGCATTGCTTTTTGAAGTGAAGAAAATAGTAATAACAGATCGGTCTCATGGATGATCATAAGAAATCATTAATCTTTTTCAAATTTTCTTCTCACTCTAGCTTCTTGGATTAGTATTTGTATCTTTATTCTATTCCTACCAAATCAAGCTTAATTAAATCATAAATATAGATATATCTATATGAAAAACGACTTATAAACAAAAAAATTATATACAAACTAGATCGACAATAATCTATGAATGACATTTATAAAATTATGAAAATAATTATGGATATTTTGATTGAAAATAAAATGATTACAAGAAGTTACATCATTATGAATATATATTTTTTTATTTTATAAAAACATTGTTTATATATCATTATTCTAAGTACATAAACTAGAAGTTCAAAACACAGATGATGCGCATGTAGAAATGGAGATCCTTGCAACTATCATCTAACGAAAAAGAATATTGAAAAAAATTAAAAACTTAGCAATTACATAAAGGGATTATTTGAACCTGAAAATATGTATGGCATGAACATTCACCAAGTAACTTTTATGTTTTAGGTAATAGAATGGACATAAAAGCAGAGAGATGGGGTCACATGTTGCACATTTTATGTTTTTTGAATCATTTTTAGAGCAGTAATAATACCAACTTAGAAAATATATACAAAATTCTATTCAAAAATTGAAACATGTTGTCCAAATTTATTCTATAGATGAATATTACAAAACACTCAAGTAAGTGGCCATTCTTCCCTTGGTGTTGGCTATATACCAAGTAAAGAGAGACAACATCTATGAGTTTTAACATAAAAGCTAAAATGCTCTGTGGCTCCTTTTCTCTGGAAGCTTGTAAAATGTAACCTTTTATCCCTTTCAGACAAACCAAATGTACACAACTTTAATCTGAACCATCAAGATTTTTCTTTAAAGAAACAATAATGCACTAATGTCAAGTACATTTGAGGTGTATCTTGCAAAAAGAAGGCTTGAACCCTTGATACATTTAGATAGGAACACCAACAATGGCCACGGTCACTCTCTTCTCATTATAAAATGGGTTTATTTATTATTGCATAGCTCATATTCTCAATTTAGATTGCCACAAAAAAATTACAAAAAGAGAAAAAACAATATATTTCATCAATCTCAGAAACACTCTGTCTTTAACTTTGAAAACTCTTTCTTACATATTTTCAAAACATTTTCACTTTGATTTTGATATTAAACAATATCTCGACAACTAGAGTTTAGCATTTTTCACTCTAATTTTGACATTAAACAATATCACAGGAGCACTCAAGAACTAGAGATGGCCCAAGCCTATTGAGGGCCTAGACAAATGAAATGTAGTTAGAATATGGCTTGGTGCCTTACATTGGCCATTGCCATTCTATTATTGTCCCCATTCTACAGTAAGATAGTGCAACTTCTTGTGCAACTTAGATTGTGAAGTTAGGTGCTTCCAGAATCAACGGTATGGTTGAAAGGGTACAGCTATCCCGGGAGATCCGAGAGATTATTTTTCATCTGTTTTCAACAAATTATGAGTGAAAGGACGACCATGTTCTGTAATCGTCATATTGACCAGATTATCGTCTATTGTTTCTATGGAGTTCCAAAGGTTTGCGGTACAAAAATGTGAGAGTATTTAGGATATTGATTAATCACACTTTGTAATCCTAATTTCTTATGTGCTGGGCACAGATTTCTGAACTAAGGCTGACTTTTAAAGAAATTATTTTCAACTATAGAAATGAACGACAGTGTAAACCTCAAGTTTTTCGTAGTGTGTTTCTTGATTGGTCATCAACACGCCGTGATGGGGTATGTGTTCATAATGTATATGTTTTTTTTTAAAAAAAAAATTCTTTTACTTAATTCGAATTTGAGTCACACCATCGGAACATTTGGAACATTTTCGATACAAAAAACAGAGGCACATTTATAATGATAAGACTAAGGCCTCGTTTGGGAACAAGCTATTTTGGTAACTTTTTGACTTTTTACGAAAAGATGTGCAGAAAAGTAGAGAGGATGATGTGACAACTTATAGTAACTTTTTGACTAAAATAGCCACTCCCCAAACGAGGCCTAAATCAGGAAAAGCATCCAAAATCAACAAGTGTGTTCAAAAAACAGAGGCACATTTCGAACATTTTCGAACCGATTTGGAACATTTCTCCAAAATAGAGGCACATTTAAACGATACAAAAAGAATCCAAATCCAAAATCCAAATGGACAATTTGCAATGTCAACCACACCCATTCACGAAGTCAGGAAAAGCCCTAAAAATTTGTATACGAAATAAATGGAAAATGAAAGGACAAAAACATGTCAAACCCTAAAATTAATCGTGAGAAAAGGAGATGGGAGAGACATCGACAACTAGATAGAACCAGATCGACAGAGAGGGAGAGAGACGACAGAAACATACCTGCGATGGTGATGATCGCCGATTTGCAGTGGTGCCGGTGGCGAGTGCCGGTGGCCTGCGATGGTGATGATCGCCGGTGGTGAGCGACAGGTTTGGTAGGGACGGGTTTGGTATGTTGATGTCGGTGTGTGAGAGTGAGACAAAAGAGAACAAAAGACTCTGTATGTAATATATATGTACTGGGCGAGAAAATTACTTATTTTCCCTCTAAAAAAAAATTCGAACATTTCGCGACTAAACGACAATTTGTCGCCAAAATGCATGTTTGGCGACAAAAAATTGGTCACCTAAAGATGCCTTTTTGGCTACTAAATTCAAAAATTCGTCGGCAATACTGAATATACAACGACTAACCCAGATTTGGTCGTCAAAAAGTAATCACAAAAATGCCCTTTTTTAGGCGACAAAACTGTTTAGTCGCCAAATTAAACCATACGGCGACAAACAGCGACTAAAGGGAAATTTGGTCGCCAATAATACTATATGGCGACTAAAATACTTTAGTAGCTAAAAGGTTTCAATCAATGCCGACTGAAGTTGATATTTAGTCAATGAATGTGGTGTTTTTGGTGACTAAAATTGGTTTGGTCGCCAATTTCAGTCGCTAAACATGCATTTTCTTGTAGTGGAGTGTGGGTTCACACACATATGAGACATTTGATAAAAATGTTAGAATCTCTATCATTTTCCAAAAACACTTGGTAAATCAAATACAAGGAATCCAGAAGGAGATTGAAATTACAAAGACTTCACTATCATATATATTTTCAAATTCAAGAACTTTGATAGCAAAAGCAAAAGAAAAACAAATTGCAAATGCATAGCCCTTAAGCAATCCAACAAATCTTACAAACTATTTGCTCTTTGGGAGCTAGCAGCTGAGAGGAATGCGATCAACTAAAGTGTCATTGTCGCATGGGCCAAGTGCAAAATAGTAAAACTTTGAAATATGAAACAGTTCTCGCCTTAACAATATGATAACAACAATGCTAGAGGGTCACAATTTTTGTAGCCACAATGGCTCAAAACTGTCAAAACGACGTCGTTTTGGCATGTTTTGTACTCAAAACGACGTCGTTTTGGCAGTTTTGAGGCATTGTGACCACAAAAATTGTGGCCCTCAAATATTTTCCATATGATTAATGTCATATCAGTAACGATATTGCTTTTACCGGGAAGTGAAGGCCAGTATGTCTTGATTGCGTTCAAATTCAACCATGTCCTTCTCAGCCAAGCTCACCCAGGCATCAATTCCACCACCACACTTATTTTCTATCAGACAAACCACTTCATAATCGCATGTACTACTCACCCAAACAGGCTTTCCCCACCCAAAATCAGCCTCATACAAAGGCAGCCCACACCAACTAGCACACAAGTGAACATCCACACTCTGGTTATGATGTTTCTCTCTTCTTGGTTCTCCGAAAGACCTACTCACCATCGCACAAAGATCATCCACACTATTCATTTTTGCAGGATCAACATCCCTCCTTGCATTGCCCAACAGACTCACTAAGTCACCCAACTCCATCTTCTTCTCATCGGCCACGAATCGCTCGCTAAAAAGCATCGAAAGGTTCCCAAAACAATTATCTGGCGTGGAAATCGCAGTGTTACCCCTCAAATTCATTGGATGGACGAGTAAAGAGTCCCTTAAGTGTCCGTGTTTCGCTTGTGCCACCCCGATGAGAGACTTCCATATGAGTGCTGCCACAACCGCCACCCGGGTAGGCGGTCTCAGGGCAGAGATACAAGCGGGCCGGGCTTTCTCTATCAAGGCCTGTATTGCCACCCCACCGAAAAAGAACCTTTTCATGACAATCTTGGCTTGGGCTTTCGCAGTGGTGGAAGGAGGATTCGGAGGCAACAGATCGCTTGCCGGGAAAAGAGAGCCCAACTCGAAACTCGGGCTGATCACATCTTCGATCCCGGCTTTATTCGCAGCAGCCCACCCATTAACAAACGTGATGATTGAAAATGCATCAGCAACTTTGTGTGAAACACTCACTCCGACCACTAGCCCGCCGCAGTCAAACGTGTTGACCTGAATCTCCACCAGCGGACCGCCAATGTCCAATGGTAAAAACTGATTGAGAAGATCGGCATTGGGCCCACCGTGAAGAAAATCATCCAGCTGTCCGTTTACACGAGTTCTAATAAAGTGAACCCCTTCGTCGTTGCAGTAAATCAAAAGATCACCCTTTACTAATCTCCCGGCAAGCGGGTAAAATTTGGTCAGGGTTTGAGCTAATGATTGTTCCAATTGTGCACATCTTTCATTGTCGTCTACTTTGGTGCATGAAGAGTAGTAGAATATCATGTTGAGGTATGTGGGAGGAATAAGCTGATCCATGAAAGATAGCTTGAGATGATGACGTGCAGTTGGAGTTGATGGTTTTATCAACTTCTTGGAAAGGATTTGAGGCTTCATCATGATAGTCGTGAAGAGTTTGTTTGTTGTTGTTGTTTTTTTTTTTTTTTTTGGTACTAGGTACTTGATAGAAAAAAAGGAAAGCGGAGAATTTTTTAGTGGTAGCAGTGTGGAGAGTGAAATGGTTTCGGATATATTTATATAGCAAGCTATAATGTAGGATAATAATGGGGAACCATATGGAATTATTTTTGTTTTTTTTTTTTGAAATCTATGGTAAAAAGAAAATATTATAAATCTTAAATTTTTTACTAAATAAATGATCAAATATTTTATAGGTGAAAAGTTCATACTTGTTGTTTTTTTTTTTTTTTTTTTTTTTTTGGTACTTGGTACTTGATAGAAAAAAGGAAAACGGAGAATTATTTAGTAGTAGCAGTGTGGAGAGTGAAATGGTTTCGGATATATTTATATAGCAAGCTATAATGTAGGATAATAATGGGGAACCATATGGAATTATTTTTGTTTTTTTTTGTTTTGAAATCTATGGTAAAAGGAAAATGTTATAAATCTTAAGTTTTTTACTAAGTAAATGATCAAATATTTTATATGTGTAAAGTTCTTAATCATGCAAAACATTTAATCATTTATTTAATAAAAAATTTATAAATACTGTAAAATATTTGATTATTTATTTAATAAAAAATTTAAAACCTTATAAATACTGTAAAATATTTGATCATTTTTTTAATAAAAAATTTAATATTTCTGACATTATCGTGAAAAAGGTTGTCTTTTTGTCGGCAAGTTTAGGTGCCGTTTGATAACACTTACGTTTTCAGTTTATATTTACAAAAATTTAAAAAACTCAAATAAAAACTTATTTGGCAAATTTTTAATTTATAAATCAGTGGTCTCAGTTTATAAATTTGGCCAAAAAATATAAACTCAAAAAATGTGTTTCCGTTTTAGATTTTGAATTTTTTTTTTTACTACCCAACACTAGCCACCACTTGTCACCATTTTCCACCACTTGCCACCACCACCC